CTCATAATTTAAATTTCTAATGTCAATTGATGTTATAATTTTCTGAAGGCATCATATTTTAAGAATTTCAATTTGCTCCTTCAAAGAATTAACCTATAGAATGACAAAGAACAACTACTTATAAATATGAATCATCTCAAATTAAATTCAAATAAATTTCTAACCTTTATGGTTTCTTGATCAGTTAGCTGCTTTTGCTGTTGTAATTTTGCTTCATACAACTGCAATTCCAAATTTTTTGATCGAACTACACTATCAAAATGTTTTTCACGGAGCTCGTATTGTTCTAAGAAACTGCGGAACTTATCCTTTAATCTATTAAAATAAACATTATACGTAATTGGGAATTCGAAAATTAAAAAAAAATAATTTTTTGGCTAATAATAAATTACTAACAATTCACTATCTTCCGCACGTTTTTTTTTCTCATCAGTATCTTCTTCCATCTTAGATTTGATCTCCCAGATGGTGTTCTCAAATTTGCTTGATAATTCTTCGCGTTTCTGTTGTTCACTAACAGCCAAGCGTTTGCTTTCCTCCTAATGATAAAATAAAAAATGGATGCGCCTAATTGATAAAAATTATATATCCAACAATGAAGTTTTAATAATGAAAGGTTAAAATCGCAAACCTTAATACGTTTGTTTTCTTTTTGTAATTCTCGACATATGTTTTCCAACTTATGTTTCATCGAATTCGCTTTAGACAGATCACTCTTTGCTAAAGAGAAATTTATGACTTTAATTCATGGATGTCATTAAAATCGATTATAAAGAAGCTTGACTAGCAATAAAAAAATATATACCAGCATCTTTCTCTTTTTGCAATTGTTCATTGCGCTTCTTCATCTTTGCATGGTCTCGCTCAAGACGTTTCATATCTTGAAACTACGCAATCATATATATTAAAACGGTTTTCTCAAATAGGTTTAATTTGATTTTATGTAAGGACGAAATAACTTTCAGGGCTTACCAATTCCATGTACCTTTGCTGTATAGTATCAAATTTTTCCATTTGATCATCGTGAGAATTAATGATGTCTTTCATTTCCCTGCTTGCCTTTTTGACGGCTTTAGCTGTAAATGATTGAAAAAAAAGATTAGATCATGAAAAAATTTTTTTTTTTTTTATAAAAAATAAATAAATAAATAACATAATTCTGCGAAAGAAAAAGAATTAATTAATTATTGTACCGAACGCCTTTTCCTCCTCATCTTCAATTGACGATTCAGTTTCAAGTTGCGTGATTTTGTTCTGAATCATACTGTTAAGCTCTTGAGGATCAAGTGGTCTCTTTTTAGACGACGCGCCGTTCTTTTTCGCAATTGCAGGTGAGGTTAGCGGCGTATTTTTTGGAGAGTTAACTTTTAACATAGCCTTCGAAGGCAAAGAAGCTTGCTTCTCATTCATTTCCGATTGACTTTCTTGATTTTCGAGATCAGTTGCCTTTGGAGTTTCAGTAGCTGGCATATTAAACGTAAGTCGTTCTCGGTCGTATAAATTTCCACAATAAATTTGCAATCAAAAGTAGCTCGATATTTATTAACAAGCTTCTCCCTTAATCGGAAAAAAAAAAATAAATGGAAAAGGTCAAAAAAAAAAAAAAAAAAAAATCTTAGAAGTGGCTTGACAATTGTACGTGGATTAAAATCACGTTACGATCATATGATTTACATTCAAAAAAAATATATATATAATTTCTTCCAATGTATTAATTTTATTTATGGAAAGTTATTAGCAAATGCAAGTAGAAATTAATCAATATTTACATTTCTATAGTAGAAATTAATTACAAAAGATAAAAGTAAAATTTTTTTTTTTATATATATATATATATTGGTAGAAAAAAAAATAAAATAAAATAAGGGAAAATTTTGGTTTTTGCCGTAGATTATTTCATACATTATTGATTTAACTATCTTATATAATGAAGGCAGATTAATAGAATATACCCTAAATTTTCTTGGTCTTTTTGTTCCTCTTCTTATTTTTCGACGTTTTAGATGACGATTCGAATTCATCACCAACTCCATCTTCTCTTTCATATTTAATCTCTTCGCCTACGTCAAAATCTTCTTTGCTTTTTTCATCCCGTGAGTGTTTCTTGATTTTTCTGTGTTCTTCATCGTTTGAGGTCCTTTTCTTTGATCTTTTAGTAGATTTTTCATTTTCTTCTACTTCGTGGGCACTTTCATCATCATCATCATCATTGGATCTTCGCTTCTTGGGCTTCTTTGAAGAAGATTCCAATTCATCTTTAATAGGTACATTTGATTTCGATTTGGAATGCGACGAGCGGGTTTTTGTTGGAAGGTTAGTTTCATCATCATCATCACTACTAGGGGGTGTGGTTGGCGTCGAATTTGGTGTAGTAGAACTAGACGTATTATTACTTTCTTCGTGGCCGTTAACATCAGCCGCCGGTGAGGCAGTTTCTTGATCTTTAGTTTCCATATAAGCCTTATATTCGATTTCGAAGCGTTGTTTAGCTGCTTCATATTGATGTTCATATACCTTACAATTTAGATTTATTATTACACATAATATGAATTAATATTAAAATATGAATAAATAAATAAATATATAAATAAAAACAAAAAAGTAAATACTTCTTTTTCATCTTTTGGCAAAGCTTTCCAACGAGTGCTTATTAGATGCACTATTTCTGACCAAGGTTTACCCTGATTTTCCGCCTTTACCGAATTCGCAACGTCTTTTTGAAACAATATGAAAGCGTTCTGAGGTTTCGTAGGTGCGTTAGGGTCACGAGGCGGTCTTGGTTTACGTGTAGATCTCTTGACCCCATTTGCTGGCTGTTTGTCATTTTGTTGAGCCTTTTGATCTTTGTCTAGCGTTTCGCCTTCGTTATTGAGAGCATCACCAAACAATTTACTAAGAGCCCCATTAATATTACCTTTCAAGAGATCCTGAAGATTAATGTCTAACGGGTTATTATCTACCAAGCTGTCGTCGGTTTCAGAGGTAAGAGCTTCTGCAGCTTGTAGAAGGCTTACAACAGCAGCTTGTAGACTTATAGCAGTTTTACGTAATCCTTGGGCCTGTAAAATATATCTTTACGTTTTTACAAAATACTTTTCGCGTAAATATCATATAAATCTTGGGACACTTACCGCGAGTTTCAACCGTTTTTCAGACATGTTCACAAATAGAAAACTTTTCAAAAAGTTACAAAGTTATAGCGTACTCTGATATTTAAAATAATAAGTTGTTATTATTATTAAAATTATATTTTATCGTTTTATAAAGTCATCCACCATAGAGCTTGACAAAACGATAGAATTTCTTGAAGAGTTATGGACTCCTATAAAAAAGGTCGTTTCTTTATAAAAGGTATTTCTTTATAAAAAGATATTCAATCGCACGCGAAAAAAAAAAAAAAATATATCAATTTTCGCGAAAAAAAAAAAAAAAAAAAAATTGGCGTATTAATTATGAACAAAAAAAAAAAGAGGACAACCTTACTATGGTTTGGTTATTATATAGGATCAAGCAAAGGATATTAAGTGGTTCATCCTTTTTTGAGGTTACAGTCGAACAAAACAGTCACCTCTAAATCCATGCATATATGGGGTATGGGGCATATGCTATGATACAAAGCCTTTCAGATAAAAAAAAAATTTCAGGGGGTTCAAAAAAATTTTTAGTAACAGTGACCACTACCTCTTATAGTTACAGAACAGGCTGTAGTATTTTGGGCTGACTTTTTGTAGATCGATTGATCCTTATATTTTTTTTTATGATCGGAGAACTATGTCATAATGCTTATCACGTGCAACTGAACTATTTCAGCTCTCGAAATCGTTTTTTGCGTTGATATCATCATGAAAGAACGACGGGTAGTTACTTCCTTTTTAACTTATACCGAAGGAAGTGAGACTTTTGGTCAAGGAAATAAATTGTTGTTGTTAAAGCGTAGTGATAAAGTCAGGACTTATCAGTAAGCGAATTATTTTATCATGCATTTTTTGAATTTGAATTTGAAAGAAGCTTAAATGACTTTCTTATAAAGAAATCATTGGGCAGGTGTGAGTGGAGGGATTGAGACCAATGATTCATCACCCTTAGAGAGAGCATTAAAAGAAATTCGAGAAGAAACTTCACTTTCCTCTAATGACATCACACTCATTCGCAGTGGTAAACCATTAAAGATCACGACAGAAATCACATGGAAAGTTTACCCATTTTTATTTCACATAAATTCCCCAACATTAATAAATCAAATTCGAATTGATTGGGAACATCAAACATTTAAGTGGATTAATCCATCTGAAATAATCAATTATGAATGCGTGCCAAGTTTACTGGAAACATTACATAGAGTATATTTACCCTTATGCGTTCACGAAGGTTTAAATGATTTATTTAAGAATAGATCTTCTGGGGCTCAAGAATTATCAATGAAAGCTCTTGATATACTGAAAGAGGCGGTAAAAAGTAAGGAGTGTAGAACAATTTCTAAAGATACATTGGAGTTGTGGAGAAATTTGTTAAATATATGTTGGCATTTAACTCAAATTAGACCAAATATGAAAGCTTCAATTTCTTATGGTATCATTAATGTTTTGAAGAGATCAAAGCAATTTCTTCAGGAAGGAAAGAAATTGTCACTTGAGGAATTCGAAACCTTTGTAATAGATTTAATTGATCAAACAAAATCAACCTTTCAAGAAAATGAAAAAAAAATTAATGAAAATTTCTTGAATGTGTTATTTCCCTCCCTTGGAGTCAAGAAATTACAAGGAGGGCAAGAAACGAATCCTCCGTTAAAAATTCATATCATTACATTGAGTTATTCTTCTACAATTTGTTCCGCACTTTCCTCACTTATTCAAAATTTTATTAATTATTCTTCTCAGTTGAGAGAAGATTATGATTCCTCATCTCTTACCATAACGATCATGGAATCACGTCCGTTAAATGAAGGTGCGACTCTTGCAAAAAAGTTATCATCTTTTCTACCATCATCAACAAACACTCCCTCCCATTCAATTTGCATACAAGTTATAACGGATGTGTCATGTAATTATTTCATGTCATCCGTTACTCACGTTTTACTTGGTGCTGATCGAATCTTGGGTAATAATGGTAATATAATAAATAAGATTGGTTCAATGTCTCTAGCTTTATCAGCAAATTATTTCAATAAACCTGTTTATATTTTATCGAAATCTGATAAAATTGCTTCATTTTCCTCTTCGGGAGATGAGCCTTCAGGAGAAATGGAACAAGAAAGCAAAAAAGAGGAAGGAGAAGAGATGGAAGAAAATGATTCAACTGAATTAACAAATTCTTATGGCCAAGATTGGATTGATAATATCAGAGAAAAAAATGTTTTGATTAGAAATATTTATTTTGAAATGGTAGAATCAAAATTTATTAATGGTTATCTTATGGAAATTGATGATGATGTTATCAACGTTAATATGATAAAAGAATTATGGAATCTGAGAAAAGATTCCGAGAAAATTTTTGATGAGATTTAGTCACAATGTAACAACGATTATTGGTTTTTATGATCTTTATAATAAACAATACCATACAATTTACTTTTAATGTGTCGTTATGAGCTTTTTTGAGAAAATCATTTATTTTTTTATGCCACACCTTAATCCACTCTTTTACTTTGTAAAGATTCAAAGAAGTTGCTGCAATTTCATTGATACATTCACCAGGCCCTAATAATAATAAGTTACTGTATCAAAATAAACAAAAAAAAAAACTTAAATAACATGCGTAAAATCATTATCAATTTTCTTTGCCGAATTTTGTAATGTAATGCAATGATCATCTTATTATGTTACTTATATTAGGAGATTGTGGCTTGATTCAAGATGGCCAATCGAACCTTGTCAATTATTGATGCGTTTCGCATTATAATATTTTTCTGTTCAAGGTGAACTGTGAACAGCGAAAAATAAATAAATTAAAATAAAAAAACAAAAATGGACTTTCTTAGTAGAGGGTATAGAGAGTTATTAGGTGAAAAGGGGCAACCTCAATCGGCTGAAGATACCGTCATAAAGTTAGTTGATCGTGCTAGCAATTCTACTTTATTGGAAGATAGGCGTGCTGCTATTTTAGGATTAAAAGGTCTCTCGAGAGAATATCGCCAGGTAGATTTATATATATATATTGTTTTAAATATGTAGGAAATATTTTTTCTAGTTGTTATATTTGAAAACATAGGAAGTTGGAGAGAAAAGTCTTGGATCTCTTTTACATATTTTAAACGAAGATAAAGCAGATATTGACACAGCAAAGGCTATTTTAGAAATATTAAACATTCTATGTACACCTGACATACACGAGATACACGAGGTAAATTTTATTGATCAAGTTTTTTCTTTTCAATTAATTAATTAATTGAATTTTTAATCTAGGATCGTCTTGCCGTGAAATTCACTGATGAAGTTGTTAGGGTAAAATTTTAATAATTTTTGAACTCATGTGCTTCATAATTTATTGACTTACGATCTTTAATTTAGGATTCTTCAAATATACATTTATTCTTGGATATTTTACAAGAGTATGATTTTTATGTTCGTTTTCATGATATACAATTGTTGCGTGCATTGCTTATTGTAAGACCAGATCATGTACAGGACTGTATTTTGACTGCTCCTATGGGAATTTCACGTTTGATGGATCTATTAGATGATCAAAGAGAAATCATAAGAAATGGTGAGTCAATTTTGTGGAAAATATGTTGTTTGAATAAAATTCATCTTAATTTAAAATCAAAATTTATTTAAAATCTTATTTTTTTTTAATATATTTAGAGGGATTATTATTGCTCATATCACTCACTGAAAACAATGCTGATATTCAAAAGATTGTCGCATTTGAGAATGCCTTTGAAAGGCTTTTGGAAATAATTGTAGAAGAGGATGGATTGAATGGCGGAATTATTGTTCAGGATTGTTTGCAATTGATACATAATTTATTACGATATAATGTTTCAAATCAGGTTCGTAGTTTAATAATTTAAAATCTTTCTTAAATTTACAATTTAATAAAATATTTTATTTTTATTTAGAATTTTTTCCGAGAGACAAGTTGTATACAGAGAATTCCGGCATTATTAAGTTATTCAGCGGAGTTCCAACATCAGGGATTTGAACTTGAATTTTTAGTTCAAGATTGGCATGATCAAAAAATTGTTAATACCATTGTATTATTAGAATTAATTAAGATTTTAGTTGTTCCAAATAATATGAATACAGTAACTAATCAGGTGAACTAAAAAAAAAATTTTTTTTTTATCAATAATTTATTTGCATAATTTAATTAATTGCTATTGTTTTCAATTGCTTAATTAGAATGTGATGGTTCAATGTGGAGTTTTAAAACCGATTATTGAATTGGCTTTGTCTTCAAACGCCCCATCACCAGTAAAGTCAAATGTATGTGTTCTTTCAAATCTATATCGAATTCTTGTCAAACGATACAATTATTTTCGTTAATTTTATATAATTATAAATTTAGTCACTTTATGCTTTGGCAGATCTAATAAGGGGGAATCAAAACAGTCAAGAATTTTTGTCAAGAATAGTTGTAACAGTTCCTCATCCATCTTATCGTATTTCAGATTCACTTGATCCATCTCAGGCGAACAGAAATAGTGCCCAATCATCACAGGATCAAATGCCTACATTACCTCCACGTCCTGCTGTAATGGCACTTATTGCTGTTGCGGTTGGAGCGGAACATCTAGAAAGTTATTCGACTCGTGCAGCTGCTACTTATGCATTCGAGGTAAATCAATTTACATATTTTCGAATATGGTATTTATATTATCCTCAAACTAACAAACATTTAATTGATTTTTTAGTCTTATACATTTAATAATATTAACGCACAACTTGTATTAGCATCGACACTGACACCACCACCTGATGATAATCCCAATTCAGAAATATTTGCAGGTTGAAAAATTTTTAAAATATAACCAACTATATTTTGAAATATTTATTAATTTTTTTTGATTCTTCTCACAATTCGGTTACAGCAAAACCTCAATCAGCTGGTTCCCTATTGCTTTCGGCATTATTAGAATGGGAAGATTCCGAAGCAGATCCATATGTTGTATGGTTTGCCTCAGTAATATTTTCACATATTCTCATGAATAATGAAAAGTCAAAAGAAATAGCTCGAGCGATATTTATTGGAGACGGTAATGAAAATGCGGAGGAAAATGTTTCTTTATTGCATTCAATTGCTGGAAATTTGATGATGGCGACAAGACAAAACGCGGATGTTAGAGTACTGATAGGATACCTAAGTGTTCTCTGCGTTTGGTTATGGGATAGTCCAATAAGTATCAGAGAATTCTTATCAGAGGGTGCCCATTTACAAATGGTAACTTTCAATTTAATTACAATTTTTTTAATATTGTGTACAAGAAATTCTTACTTTTTATTTAAAAAAAAAAAAAAATAATTAACAGAATTTATCATCCTTATAGCTAATTACACCAATAACTCAATCTTCTGGAATAGATACAATAGTTCAAGGATTGTGTGCATTTTTATTAGGAATATGTTATGAATTTAATCATAATTTAGATCCACAAATCACAAGGTTTATATCTTATATATGTATTTTTTTTAAAAGAAATTTTATTACTCAATTTAGTAATATTTTTTTTTAAGGTCAACGCTTCAACCTATTTTACTTAATCGAATTGGGTTTGACCAATTTGTCAATCGAATTACAAGATTAAGAGAATCTACTCATTTTAAACACGCTACACAGTATTTACAGGTACATAATAATTATGTTGTTATAAATTGATTGATTTGATAATAAATATTATAAGGATATTTTTATCGAAATTTTAGATTTTGCCGGAAGCGGCGGCTAAAGGCTTACCAGACTTATATTTTGATTATGCCTTTGTAGAATTTTTTAAAAATAATTATGGTATGAATAAATAATATTGAATTTATTTAAAATTTTTATTTTATTTATTTTTGTTTTTATTTATCTTGTAGAAATCATTCAAAGGTCTATTAGAGCGGATCCGAATGCAAAATCATCATTAGGATATAAAGGTAAATTCTAACTTAATTATTACTGTTTAATTGAATTTTATTTAATATGATATATATTTAGGTTCAGATTATCAAGGTGAAAATGATTCAACTTCAATGATAATATCATATAAAGATGTTATTCAAACTCAAGAAAAGGAAATAAATCAATTAAAAGAATCAATCAAACAAATTGAAAATCAATTGGAATCACAGGTAATTAAATAAAATGTTATAGCGATAGAATTGTTTATTGATTTTTATTAATTATTTATTATTAATTATAGAAATTATCTTCAGAAAAACAAATTGATTCATTAAATAATAATATTGAAATATTAAAACAAACAGTTGAAAAACAAAAAATGGATTATATAAAATTAGAAAAAGAACAAGAGGATTTATTAATATGTCTTGCAGATCAAGATGCAAATATTAAAAAATATAGAGAAAGATTAATTTCATCAGGATTAGATATTTCTGATATTGAAGAAGAAGAAGAAGAGGAGGAGGAGGAAGAAGATAATGATAATAATAATAATGAATAAATTTGCTTTATATTAATAAATTATTTAATATATATTTATATAAAAAAAAATTAAATTATTAGTTTAATTAATAAAAATAAACATTATTTTTAAAAATTATTTTATTTATTAATTATTCTTTTTTAAATTATTTTATTACTTTAATATTTTATTTATTTTTGATTAAATTAATTGATTTTAATTGTTTACAATTTATTAAAATTAGTTTTTATTTTTTGAAAATTATTAATTTATATTGTTAAAAAATGTTTTTTATAAAATTTTAAAATTTGTTTTATTTAATTTATCATATAATAATTTAATAAAATAATTCAATTAAATTCTTTTTTTATAAATATTAAAAGATTTTAAATAATTGCTTATTTATTATACTTTTAATATATTAAATTTTTAAATAAATTTATAAAATAAAAATTTTAAAAAAGTTATACTATTTAAAAAAAATTATTATTATTAAAAATATTAATAATTATAATATTATAATTATATTTTTTTATATAAATTATAATTAATTTTAATAATTATTTTTATATTTGAATTAAAAGTATTAATTTGTAATATATTAATTAATTACATAAAATTTATAGTTAATTTTGATACAAATTTTGTTGATTACTAATATATTTTTTACAATACACAGTTTTCTATTCTTAAGTAATCATTTTATATATATATATAAACATAATAAAACACTTGTAATACATGATACATAATATGATATTTTAATAATATTTTTTATTAAATTTCATAATAAAATTTTTTATTAAATTTCATAATAAAATTTTTTATTTTTATTTGATGATTTTTCAGATTTCCAGTCAAAATAACAATATTATTATCAATTAGATACATATACAGTCAACTCTTGTTATAACGAACTCTATATCCTAGATCTCAACTTCGTTATAAGGCTATAGTGAAGATTTTAAGAGATTTGATTGGCCAATTCACTATAACAAGAGTATTTTTATTATATTTGTTCAAAAAATTTGTTATATCAAAAGTTCGCTATATCAAGAGTTGACTGTATACACTATTAATAATCTTTTTTAAGCATTATTTGAGTGTTTTTTTTGTAACTGTACTATATAACAGGTTATACAACCTTATATAATTATCACTTTTGAAATATCTAGACTTTTAATTTCTCTTTTTTGTATCTTTAAAATCAAAAAATCCCACATATTCTTAATAATTATTTAGTAACTCTTGTTAATATTTCTAACTAAAAAACATTCTTTTAAAATAGTTATAATTTTTTTCTTAATATATTTTTCACTATCTTTTTTCTATACTTTTAAATTTTTTTTATTGCCTAATTACTTGAAAATAAAAATTCAGTTGCATTTGAAAGTCTACAATACAATATATTCAATTGATTTTCTTCTTAAAGTAAAATTTTATAATTACTTTAAAATATATTCTTTATGCTAGAGGTGTGTTTTGAATTTGATCAATCCAGATATCCAGTTATTCATTTGAAGTTTAACTGAATTCAGATTGATCTATTTATATTATCAAATTGATCAGATAAATTATTAGATATCCGATGAATAAAAATAATTTTTTATTCATCAAATTAGACAGATGATTTACTATATCTGGTTAATTCAACTTGTTTAAAATAGTATAAATTTTTTTATTTATTAATTTTTTATTTAATTTTACAATATAATATTAAATCTAATTATATATTACATTATCTTATTTAAAAACTTTTGTCTTAAAAAATTACTAATATTCCTTTTGCTTTTTTCTATAAAAACAATCTCCTCTTAAATCTTATACTTTAAAATAATTAGAATTTTGACTTAGACAGCTTGAATTCAAACAGTAAGTGTAAAATTCTTTCTTTTTTTATCTTAAAAATATTACTAATATTTATTTTAATTCTTTTCTTTAAGAAACATTTTCTTAAACTTTAATTTAACTTGAATTATAAAGATAAGTTAGTATAAGAATTGTTTTTATTTGTTCTTTAACTTTAAAATACCAATAACATTTCTTTTGCTTTTTTTCTTTAGAAAACACTTTTTTGAATCTGAATTTTAGCTTGAACTATAAAGATAAATTCGTATGATAGATTGTTTATATTTTTTTTGTCATTAAGAATGTTATTGATATTCCTTTTACTTTTTTTCTTTAGAAAACGCCTTTTTAGACTTGAATTTTAGTTTGAATTATAAAGGTAAATTGATATGTAGTGCTTCAAAACTGGTTTTCAGTCTTCGATTTTAGTCCATTTATTTAGTAACCAGTTTTAAAAAAAAATTTTAAAGATCCGATAACCGGTTTTTTAATATAAAATCAGTTTTAAACTCAAATCGGTTTATGATTTCAAACCGGTTTATATATAAAATTAGTTTAA